GGGGGGAGTCGGTCTTTGTGCCACAAAGTCTAACTCATAACAAAACTGCAAAATTGAAACGGAAGCTGTACCTGAAAACGGATTACATGCCGGACATGTTTTAGAAATCATACACAGTCGAAATTATTGGCTTCAAAGCTCAATTTACTTAACAAAGACCAATTATTATGAAGACTACATGGTATTGTGATCCAAATATACATTGTAGATGGTGGTATAAAACTCCTACCGGTACTTTCAAGAAAAAACCCAGAGCGTTACAATTTCCTCTCCTCCATGTAAAAAAAAGTGTACATCTCGAAGATTGCTACCCTCGTCAAGACTGTCTTTTCATTTAGATTTCAATTTCATGCTACATGTATCAGTATTTTGGTGTAGACCGTAATGTAGGCAATTCCCAAAGGGGAGGGGGGGGGCATCATCCATGTTCTTATGCACAGTATAATTGTAATTTTGTAAATGGGCTGATTCATCAATGTCACGCTCATAACTGTGCCTGAACTTCAACGGGGAACTGCTGCTTTTTCTTTCCTCCTAACTATCGCCATTTTTCCTCTACTTCATTTGTATACATGTTTGTCACACTCTTGTGACCAGCTCTTTCCGGGGTGCCTTGATAGTTGAAGTTGAAGCAGACGTTCAGCTGTTGAAGCTAAAGAGGTGAGCAGAGTAAGTCTGATTCCCTGTACTGTAAGTGTAAGGACTTCTCTGTTGACATCCACCCCTTGGTGCTCATTTTGTAGTTGCGAGCGCCCTAAAACCTCTACTAAAACAAAACAGACCTAGATCTAAATGTAGTGTAAGGGGGCACTCAGTTACCACAGTTGATACATGATGTATCATGCTGTACACATGTACTATGGAGCGGATGGCCCTAGATGAGATGGAATCCCGGAGTGGGTGTTCTTGATCTCAGGCGCTTTGTGGAATTTTCTAGGCTCCTAACCCAATTGGCTCGGTCCAGTCGGAGCTGGGCGTTAAGTTTGAAGGTCCCGCCTATCGTTTTGAATGTGCTGTTAGACCCATACACTGTCTCTGTAAAATGCGAAACCCATACAAAAGCTGCCGCTGTAAATTGTAAACATGTAGATCTACGGCTCTTCGCCGTTGCAAGCAAAAGAAGGTAGTTTTTGATTTCCCAGTGAGGAAACTAATTTTCTGGAAGAGCATTTCTGTCTACCTTCTTCGGTATTGCATCCATTGAAGCCCAGGTTGGCCCTGACTGACACGCGGGAGTGGAAGTAGTCCGCCTCTCAAATGCTGGCTTGATGAGTCAATTACTAAAATAAGTACATGATACATGATGCACAAGTAGCCTACAGTGCAGGCTTTTTGTTCTCGATGTAGGCCTAGTTTTAGACAGTCGGCTCCACGCGTGTTGAACTCGCTTGAATTGATCTTCGATTAAGTTGCTCTTTTGTTCTGGCCCAAGCACCTCTTCTTCTTTACGGATCCCAATGGTCAAGTTGAACTTACAATGAGCTGATCTTTTTTCCACTCCCCTAACGATATCAATTTATCCGTATTCGACTGTAAATTAGTCAATCATAATCAATTTATTATATCGAAGACCACTTCTTCCGATTAATAATGATAATGATAGATTTTCTTCCGCACCTTCTTTCCGTCATTTATTCTCTTCCTGTTTTGTGTATCAGCATCACTAGACTCTTTCCTCTAATCAGTCAGTATAGATCCATAACATCTGACGAGGGTATGGAGCACCATAGACAAAATTCAGCTGACCCAACTTCCTCTTTTCTTTTCCTGTCCTCTGCATGGCTTTGTTAGATCTATTTCAAAGCGGATCTCTTTAGTCTTTGCCTTGCTCTCCCCCCCCCC